CCTGACGGAGCTCACGTTCATGTTTTCTGCCCTTGGGGGACCCAGAGACGGGTAAGGAATCGAGGCCATACCTACCAACCTAAGACAGGCACAAGGGACATAAGCCCTTCTGCTGATGATGGGTAAGGAGTTATGGTGACTCGGCCGCCTAAGACAGGGCCCCTTTGGCACCTTCCTGATTCTCGCGCAAGAACAGGACCATGTTGCGGGCATGTAGCATCGACTCCATTTGCCGTTGCCTTCATTGCTGCTTTTGTTAAAAAGGAAAGGAGGAATTGTGGAGAACCATAGATCCGCCCCTCCACCATTTTATGATATAGCCTATGAAGCCATTTTGTATTAGGTTTAGTTTTCCTGTAGATCACATGATATGTTCCCGTGGGTGTTTGATGTATCCTTATAAGGTAATAATCTGTTCTCTGTATGCTGATTGGTTGCATTATGGTATATATGTTGCCACCCCTTCCGGGCGCGGAGAGAGAGCGGGGTAGAGATCCGGAGATGAGGAACTAAAGTAAACTCCTTGTCTATCAAGTGTGTGCCTCTTTGCTCACGCGTTGCCAGTTCAGGCCCCCTGTAGTCGCAGACCGAGTTGCCCAAGGCAATCCGGCTCGCGACAGATACTATCTCCTTGTGCCCTCTTAGAAACATTAACAGCTCGTTTCTTCTACTTTCTGTAATTTGGTCTCTATATTGTCATTTTATAGCTTTACTTATAGACTGTTTTAATCAAACGCACTTTCAATTGTGTGACTCCCTGTATGCTGGCGAATGGTGTGTGTCAGTTCTCAAGAAGAGATTTAGAGAAATGCTGATAGAAGATGGATTTTTAAATGGAATATGGGTCTTGCTATTTGTTTCTTTGCCTAGTGTGAGAGAATTGCTATCGTAGACACTTCCTTTGAACCTTGTATAAGGGAAACTGTACAGTGGTTGAAGTTGCAGTGCCTCCAGGAACCTTGCTTATAAGTCTGTGAAATTGTGGAGGGAGATTTAAAATCTGGAATATTTCTCAGAATTCCACGGGAATCAGGTAGTTTCATTTTTAATTATATTAGAATCACTTGTGGTGCTTGTCGATTCCTCATGGCCTGACTGCTAAGTCTTTAATTCAGTAAATTGGGACTAATTTGCATACATGAGTCGTTCCAGGTGGTCACATTGCAGACTTCAGACGTCCGGCTTCCTCCTATACTGTAATACGTATGCATCACACTGGAGTCTCGGGAAGATGAAGGTCGAAGGGCAAAGGCCAAGCCTTTTCATTTCTAACAGCTTCACCGCCAGTGGCCTTGAAGCTCATTTTCCAGCTCAGTCTACCTTTCCTTCTATACTAATTTGCCACCACTTTGTGATTAACTAAATACATCCAGGTTAAATTCTGACCTTTCAATCTTCAGTTTGATAGAATCATTGCTTACTTTCATAATCCCGTCTTTTTATTTTCTGCAACACATGTAGATGGGCAGCGGTTGCGTCTTGAAGTACCATCAGCTGTAACCAAGGTTCCTGATCCCAAAAAGACAGTCCAGCGTTCCGGATCCCCAGAACCCAAGACCATGGAGCTCTCGGACAGTGACCGACCTGTCAGCTTTGGCTCTACCTCATCCTCTGCCTCTTCCAGGGACAGCCACGGTTCCTTCGGGAGCAGAATGACCTTGGTTTCAAACAGCCACCTGGGCTTGTTTCACCAGGACAAGGAAGCAGGGGCCATAAAACTGGAGCTGGTTCCAGCCCAGCCGTTTTCCAGCAGCGAGCTCAAGAGGGACAGCCCCGCAGGGCTACAGAACAGGGACCATGGCAGTGAGATGCAGCCCACGGCCCCTTGGGGCACAGATGCAAATGGGGCACCCAACACAACTGCAAGCTCAACCGCTAGTCCCAAGCTTCTCTATGTGGATAGAGTTGTGCAGGAAATTCTGGAGACTGAGAGGACTTATGTGCAAGATTTAAAAAGCATCGTGGAGGTAAGGCAAACTTCACTTTTTCCAGGTTTGACAAGAAAGAGAAATAGGCTTGCAAAATGCAGAACAAAGCCAAGCTCTTTGTGGTTGGGATGCATGTGTGTTGCTTCCTAAAATGCAGAAGGTGTGAATGTTTAAACAGATTATAGGAGAAACCCTAGGCCTGTACTCGCTGGGTTAACATCCACATAGTATTTGCATACGTTAATTATGTATCACGAATAAGAATGATGATATGTCACACGTGCTGGTATGTTTTGTTAATAAGTCGTACACCAGGATAGTGTAGGATTTCCAGCCTCCTGGTAAATAAGGAGGTATCAGGTAGAACTGACTGAACCCATCAGCTGTTCTTACCTTAATCACAGCTCTCCATTCACCTCTGGGAGTTTCCAAAAGTGCTCAGACCTGGGTTTTTGGCCTGGGGTGTGGCCTGAGCTGTGGGCTCATCACAGATCTCCAGGTGATTCTAATATACAGCAGAGGCTGGAGCCTGTGTCCTGTGCCAGGTTCCTGTGCTGGTTGGTCTCCAGGAGTGATGGGTGGGAGAAGAACTGTAAATTCGGTCTTGTCTTGGATGTTTTCTTTCTATCACTTTTAAAGTAAATGGTTTTGGGGCTGGGGATTTAGCTCAGTAGTTCTGCCACCTGCTTCACAAGGACAAAAATCCCGAGTTCAATCCCAATACTAAAAAGCAGACAATCAAACAAAAACAACCAAACAAAAGTTAGCTGGGTGTGGTGGTACACACCTGTAATCCCAGCACTCAGGAGGCTGAGGCAGGAGGATCACTGTGAGTTCAAGACCAGCCTGGACTACATAGTGAGTTCCAGGTCATTCTCAACTATGTAGTGACACCCTATCTCAAACCCCCCCCCAAAAAAAGTAAATGGTTTTTCATAAAAATTTTATATGATTACTATAATTATAAATTATTCCCTGTGAATTGAGCTCATCTCATGTACTAGATCACATCCTCTGGAAATTCAGTTATTAATTTGACATTGATTTATAGGTGGGTTTTTGAGGATAAAGTAAGAATGACCAGTGGAGCTCAGATATTACTCATTTTTTTAAATTAAAGATTGCAAACATACATGATAACAAGAAATGAAGATACTAAATAAAAATTTCAAATATACATATATATGACAGCAAAAAAAGGATATGAAATAAACAAGAATTTATGTAACACAGACTAATAATCGAAATACATTGGTTTGATATGATCTTCAAACATTATGTTCTTTCTCATTTTCTTATAATATTTTTGAAATAATGTAATTATAAATAAAACAAAGTTACATATTATAGTTGAGAAACTGTCCTCAAAATTTTATGATTTATAAACTCCTTGGTTTTATTAATTGATAAATATCAACCATATACTTGACCCACAGAAAAATATACTTATATTTGAAATCCAAAAGCAACTCAAAAAAATTCACATTTTTAAGATCAGATTTTTCTTTCTATTTTATTATATCCCATACTTATTTTTATTATATTTTTATAAGCATAATGATAGAATTTAATACCATGATATGTAATATTCTTCCCAAATGAATGACTATGAATTAAGTCAAGCATGTAATTTAAAGAAATCATAAGGTTGCCAGAGAAACTATCAATATGCCAAATGTGCACAATCCTGCCACATTCATGCCCATGTTTCTCATTTAATAGTGCACATATATGTGTAAAAACATACCCCCCACACATATACACAATGCATGTTTTGTACAGTACAATATATACTTAGGTATAATAAAACAGTGATGTGTGGAATGTTGGTAATTTGTATAATTTGAGAAAAAATGAATACCATATTTGAGGGAGTTGGAGAATTTGTAATTTGTACCAGATACTAAATGATATTAATGATTAAGTATAGTTATAATAAAATTTACTTAAAAATTAATATTCGTCATCAGTAGAAAATAGGTACAAAAATATACTGATAACATAACAACATTTATCTTAACAAATTTCCAACCAAACAAGCTGTAGTGACAGAAAAGGAAGTTTGTAGAAAGCATAGATAAAAGAGGAAAATGACAGATGGGCCTTAATACTTTTCATACTACTCATATATACAGATTTCATAAATTCTCAAAAAAGCAAAGAAAATGAGAACCAAAATAACTCATCAATTTGGTAGACCAACATATAGAGGCAAGTATTAATGTATTGATAAATTTTAAAAATATGAAATGTAAAGCCTGAGATTTAGCTCAATAGTGCTGCACCTGCCTAACCAGAACAATGTGCCTAGTTTAATCCCCAGCATCAGAGGAAGAAAAAGAAAAAGGAAAAGAAGAAAAAAAGAGGGGAAAAAAGAGCATATATACTTTCTGACATACTCAATAAATTAAAAATAAATTATTTGTTATCTCTTCCTCTTGAATTGTTCCCTTCACAAGGATATAGTGAACTTTTTTGTCTCTTTCAGTCAGTTTAAGTTTGAAACTTACTTTGTGAATAAGATTGCTACCCCTGCTTTTCTACGGGGCCGGGGGGCTCCTGTTACATGAGGAAGATTTTTGTCCTTTCACTTTCAGTCTATGGGCTTCTTTTTACACTAGACTTGTCTTGTATACAACGTATTATTGGATCTTGCTTCTTAATACATTCTGCTGGTCTGTTTCTCTTGATTGGTGAATTGAGGACGTTAATATTGATGGTTATAACTGATATGTACTAACTTATTATTATCATTTTTTTCCCCGCCTTCTTTACTCTGTTGGGCCTCATTGTGTTGTTACCTTCATTGTCTTTTTCTAGGATATTGTTTAGAATTCCTTGTAGTGCTGGTTTGGTATTCATAAAGTTTCTCAGGTGTTCTTTATCATGGAAATATCTTATTTCCCCATCCATTTTGAAAGAAAGTTTTGCAGGATACATCAGTCTAGGTCGGAGGGTGTTTTCTTTTAGTACTTGAAATATCTCATTCCAGGCTCTCCTTAACCTAAAGGTTTGTGTTGAAAAGTCTTCTGTGATTCTGATAGGCTTTCCTTTGCATTGTAATTTGTTTCTTGTCTCTTACTGCTTGTAGTATTTTATTCTTCTGTTGGGTTTCTGGGATCTTGATTATTATATGTCTAAGTGTAGATTTTTTTTTTGATCACGGCTAGTTGGAGTCCTATATGCCTCACTTATCTGTATGTCAAATTCTTCCCCTCTATTTGGGAAGTTTTCTATAATTAATTCTGTGAACAGCTTTTTTAAGTCATTTGCATTTTCTCCTATTACTTCTTGAATTCCTATCAATCTTATGTTATTCTTAGTATCATCTAAGAGTTGTTGTATCAATTTCTCATTATCCCCTACTGTTTTTAAGAGACCTCTCTTTTCACGGTCACTGACTGCAATTTTATCTTCTATATCTGAGATTCCATCTTCGGACTCTTTTATTCTTTTGTGAACACTCTCAATGGAGTTTTTAATCTCCTGGATATCTGTTTGAATCTGTCCTATGGATTCCATTTCTTTCTTGTATTGGGCATTTATTGCTTCCAATTCTTTCTTATGCTGGGCATTCATGGCTTCTATCATGGTCCTGAGCTCATCTATTTTCCTCTCAGTTTCTGTTCTAGAGTCACAAATTTATAACTTTCATTTTGCTCGTCATCTCTATAATTATCTGGGAAATTACTTCTGTTTTATATTTCTCTAAAGCCTGACTGATAGTTTTGTTACTTCCTGTGCCTTGAGTTCAGGGTGTCCTGATGATTCACTATCAGATTTTTCATCCTCATCTGCCCCACTGTTTGCCATTGGTGAACTGGAAGTCTGTCCCTGTATCTTGCTTAAGCGTTTTCTCATTTTTACTATTGTTGTTGGGTTGTCCTTAGTTTAACCTTTAGGTTATTACTTAAAGCTTCCTGATATAGTTGGGCTGCAGCCCATGGGTCTCTAATGACTCATAGACATTTTCAATTTCATAATACTGAAGAAAACAGCTCATTGAATCAATCACAACCCTCTATCCTAATTGATACAATCAGCACCACAATATAATGAAGCACAATTTGCAAATTGACCACTTATGGTAGTCATCAATCCATCACCTTCAAACCATGTGAATTTAATTAAAATCAAGAAGCAATCCAAAATATGCTTACAGTAAATAAACTTTTCAATAAGGATATTTACCATTTACAATGGGGGCTTAAAACAAAATTAAGACAAGAGGAGTAGATAAGTATAAGAATTGGAGAAGGTTTCATATGAAGCCAAAAGATGCAGAATGACCAGAGACAATCATCAGGAAATTGTTAAATTCAAAAAGAACAAACAAAATAGAAATATAATAACCCTTGAGTGAGGTAGAATAACGTAAGAAAAGAACATAAAGAAAAGAGAAAAAAATAATAAAAGAAAACTGAATTAGGACAAGAGCAGAAAGAAAAAGAGAAATGAGGGATACTATAGTGGAGTAAGAGACTGAGTTAGAGAAAGAAAAATAAAGAATTTGTAGAGTAGGATAAAAAAAGAAAGAAACAAAAATGAGTTTGAAGGGCCTCTTTCAGACTATATCACTGTTGTCATAATATACAATATATGCTGCCATTTGCAGAGCCGAGTCCCCTGATCTCAGCTAGCTGGTGGCAGAACCCCACGATGCAGACTGAGCTTGGGCTGCAAGGCCCAGACTGAGTCCCCTGACCTCCTGAAGGGTTGAACTCCACTCAGTTCTACTATAAGTTTCCCCCACCATTTCTTTAAAGATGTTCAAAGTTGAAAGTGCCAGAAAATACTCTTTATGACCACCTCTGCCTCTACAGAGTAGGTCCAAAGACTGGTATAATCTGGAGGTCTAAAAGCGTGAGGGGGTTCAGGGGTGCCTGTGTGGCTACCTTTCTAGCGCTGAAGATGGCTGCAGCAGTGCCAGCAGGGGAGGCCGCGGCCAAGAAGACCCTCTGGCGTTGAAGATGGTGGATGCAGCCTGCAGGAGAGGGCAACTCATTTTTTATTTACAGTTATAAATGTTAATATTTCAA